GGCGTTCACAGAAGCCTCCACAGTAGTTTCCAGTGAAAAGTCTACTGAGGCATCTAGTGAAACTTCCACAGAAACTTCCAGCGAAGGGTCTACTGAGGCATCCAGTGAAACTTCCACAGAAGCCTCCACAGAAGCCTCTAGTGAGTTGTCTGGTACAGTTACGACTGAATCTACCAGCGAGGCCTCCTCTGAGTCTACAAGCGAAGTTTCCAGCGAACCAGCTACGGAAAGTGCAACCGAGGCTGCATCTGACGAAACGTCCCTCGCCTCAACAGAAACTTCCGAATCCACCCCTGATATATCTACAGAAGGTTCGTCCTTGGCTGAAGGATCTACAGAGTCTACGAATGAATTATCTACCTCTCGTAGCGAGTCTACTGAGCTATCTTCAGAGGCTACGACTGATTCAACTCTCATAACAAGCGCTACCGATTCAAGTTCGGATGCAACTTCAGCGGATCAAACTACAGAAGCCTCATCTGAAGGTTCACCCGAAGCATCTACTACAAGTGGCTCAGAGCAACAGACATCTTTCGGAACAACCGCATCGGCGGAAACTGAATCCGACACGCACATATCTTCAACGTCTTCAGAAGCTGTCACTTCCACTGAGCCGGGATCTTCAGACAGTACGGGAGAGACTGAAACAGGTAACGCAAAAAGTAAAGATGGCGAACATTTCTACTAACATTTCAACTTTTGCGATGTACTTAAACACAAAACTGGCGTACATTATTAAAAATGAGGTTAGTATTGTACTAATAGTTCTGTCAGTGATAATGTTATCTGACTGAATAAATAGTATTTATTCGGTCAGATAACATTATCACTAACAGTAGATTTGTTAAAAAAAAAAATAATTTGCTAAAGATGGCCACGAAGATCCGAGTAAGCAGAAATCTTCTAAAACCTCTCACTTTGATGACTGATTGAGTGTACTGCCAACAAAAAATCTTACCTATTCAGTTTTACTGTTATTATTGAAACACTTCACACACGGGTGTAGGTTAATAACACAACATCAAAGTGAGCATGGATCATACGAATCTATTTTAATTTATAAACTTTCAATAATTTACCAGGCATTTTAAGGTTGGCACCAGAAGGTAGTGATCGGCATGATATGCATCACAATATTATTACAGTTTAAAGCTCCCACGGCTGCGATAAGGTTCATTGATGTCCCCTGCCCTGTAAAGTCTATGATAAAGTCATGCACGAAAGAAGGCGATGAACTCCATAATCGCCGCGCGTAGGTTTATGGATAGTTCATTGACGTTTATTTGCTATTCTCCATCGCACCTAAGCCGAAGAAATTCCTATCGATATCTGCGAGTTTTTGCCTTTACTTCCCAAGACTAGCTGTAAAGGCCTCTGTTGCTGGCAATTTAAAGCGGCGGCGTAAGCGCCTAAGCAAGTAGTGTCGAGTTCGCCAGGACACATCCTAATGCCTTCTTGAGAAAGAAGATTTGGCCCGATTTTGTCGTTTGAGGTTGATTCTTTTATATGACACGCGTCCCATACGTTGTTACTGGAGCTTTCGTAAAATCAAAAAGAAAAAAAAAACTAAAAGCGATTTAATCTCTTTTTCATTGTACACGGTCTTTTTGCGCCTCTTAGATATGTTCGTAATGAAACATCTGCAGTTAACGGAGAAGAAAAGCTTTGATTTTGAACAAGAGCTAACGGGGCGAGGTAGAAACTGTTAGTGGGTTAGCTACTATAGTTAGCTATCCCTCTGTCCATTTGAACTTCATCGTTCTGTCGTAAGATTGTCGCAAAAAGTTGGGTTATAGTTTGTTGTTCCTGTAACCTGTTTAACTTGTATATCATTAAATCATTCGCGTTATACTATTTTTTTACACACCCTTTGTTTGATCAGAAAAATCCTTCATTAAGATGGAGAATAGAAATAGGGTGATTTATGAAACCGTCATTTTCTTATCGTTGCTTTTCGTGACCTTATTCCTGGGCGGCCAATCGAGGGTTACTCTTCACTCTACTGAAACCTACCGCACGTAAGAATTAAATGCAGATTTAATAAAAAAAACAAAAAATTAAATGATGCCATCCAGCACGATGCAAGAACAAAGACGCTCTTGAGACGCTCATTGAGAACTCTATCTAAACCGGAGACTTTCTTATTACACAGGCTTCCGTGTCCTTACATAAGTTCCCGCACTGTGAATTCTTGCTCAAGGATATTGCATGAGATTGAGACTTGCTCTTTTTACGAGTAAAAGGCCACAACGCGCGAGAAATTGTATTGCAAGCGCAAACACATTTGAGGTTTGATTGAGGATTAATGAAACACATTTGATGCCCAACCACTAAACTTCCATGGTATATCAGCCATTTGAATGACTAACGCTCTGCATTAAACAACTAGACGAACTATTCAAGCTACTTTTACAGCTTTTTACACGTGTGGTTTTTTTTGACGAAAACTAAAAAGTAGAGTATGGGTTAAGGATTAACCGGAAGCGTGAACTCTATCTGCGCCGTCTGGAGAAGACGCTAAGTGTGCTCGAACCGCGACATGACAATGCGTAGGCCGATCTTCTTTTTTGAAAGCTTCATATATTAAAAATATAAATGATGATCGGAAACGCTGATATTTTCTTGAGAAAGCCAACAGAAGATCTCGAAGGATTACACAAACACTTCGTGACGTGATCGATCGTCATTGTTAGTTAGCTATAATTGCATGATGATAACTTGGTATTAGTTGATATACGAGAAAGTTTGGACAATATATACATATTAACAATTCAACACAGTTACTTACACTTTGAAATATTTCTGACTAGCATATTTTAGGACACAAGGCCATTTCTTACAGGAACCGTACGCCTGATAGGTTAAAGTATTTTAACAAGTAAAGCAGGCTAATCTATAAGTCGCTTAAGCGTTTGAAGAATTTTGGTTCGTATGAGAAAAAAAAAAGTCCGACAATTTATAGTTCTTTATTTTATTTATTCTGTACGAATACTGTAATTATACAGACGAACTATATTACTTAATTAAATTGAAGTTCTGAAGTATTTTCTCCCGTCTGTAATGAGCATTTTCATTTCGCAACATTACCAGATTCACTGTTCATTGGACATAAGAGTAGGACTTTTGTGGTGGGCTGCGTATTTTTTCGTCTAATTCTCTTTAGACATTGGACATTGATGCATGCCACAATAATACCGCAACGGTTCTACATTGAATTGGCTCCGCTAAAGCAATTCTTCTTAATCGATCGTTTTTGAATGAAAAAAACATTTATTCATTACCTTTTTTAACAATAGATGCAAATAACGACGTTTCGAGCTATACACAGCATAATACCTAACAAACTACCGGTGTTATAGACGTAACTTGGCTCGTAGAATCTACGGGCGGGAGGATTCTGTGGGAAAAGGGAAAAGCGGGGAAAATGCAAACAGCATAAGGCTACTCTGTTTCTGTGAACATCTTGTATAAGGTGATAAACAAACAGCAGAGGGAAAGCGGGCTTTACTTTCGGATATAGAGCCTGTTCTCTGCTCCTTCTTAAGTAAAGTATACCCTAAATCTGCTCATAAGTTGTGTATACGAGATATATACTATTATGCATTACATTTACTTGTGCTGTTTATGGCATAGTACTTTTTATGTCAAGTGTTGATAAAGAGTGAGAGCATAGGTAAGGACTTTCGATCGCTTACAGTATGGCAGGATCATGAAGGATCGAATCCCCAGCCCGCAGTTTTGGAGAACGATGCTCTACCGGTTGAGCTACATCCCTAGAATATGATAGAAATCTAAGTTCTAGTAAAAGCTTTTATAAAAATTTTCAAATTCCTATACTTATTATTGAATAGTTTCCACAACGGCGTCAGCACGTGCCGTTCTGTCGCCTTCCCGAATCGCAAACGTTTATTTCTTTTGTATTTCATGTCGATATATACCCGTGTATAGGGTCTTACCAAATTATGTGCGCACCTTGTAGAGCAATCACATGCTTGTGCCGCAAACTCTGTTTGAATTCGCCTCCGTAGACTGTAACCTCATATCAAATATATAACAGGCGACCCATGCAAGATAGAGAAATGCTTGTATTTGTTTAGTAAGGTTCCAGAGACGTTGGAAAGGTGTAACGCAAGGGTAGCACCGTGCCTTCCATAGTGCCCACTGTCTTTCATGTTATCACTACTCGACAAACCGATTGCAATGCGTCTTCTATCCTTCATATGAGAGATGCCATAAACCAAACCTGGCAAAGATTATAATTTTAATCTGAGTTTAGCCGCACATTTTCGCGGCGTCTTCTATTTGTCGTTTAAGTAGTTTATTCACTGTTGCGCTTTCTCTATACACTCAGTTTGAAGCGGACAGCAACCAAATAATTAAAAAGTATCTTGGTTAAAAAAATCGTGGTTTTTTTCCTGGCTGTCATTTATTATTGATATATTTTTTCACGTATATCCTTAAAGCATTTTGGCACTTATACGAATTCCATATTTCAGATTGCATGGTTGATGGCGAACACTATCCCAATAATGGTCCGATCCCCACGGACGACCCATGTCAAATCTGCCAATGCGTCGATTCGGAGAAGGTCTGCGCAACTGAACAGTGTGAAGAACCCGAGGAAGGCTGCACGTTAATGCCTCCAACGAAGGACGAATGCTGTAATTACAAATGCGCTGACGACACCACGTCCGTGAGTATCGATCTTTACGCTAGCAAATGTCTCTTTTATTTACACGATAAACCGGTACTTTTTTATTTATAGAAAACTTTTTCTATAGGCATTCACATTAGAGATTTGAAACAGACTGGTTGAATGGCTGCCATAGTTCAGAAAAAGAATATAAAATATCATCCTGTTATCATTCATATCTGTAAATAATCAGTATATGCGTTTTATATTTATATAACAACGATTCGTATCGTTATATATGTAAAACGGATTGCCTAAAGCTCTAGACGTAATATATTTAACGTAATGGAATCAAATGTTTTTTTTTTTTTGCAAATCTCTAAAGTTCGCTCGTCCTAGTTTTTTCTCAGACACATCTCAAATCCATCTACATTTTTTCTTCTTATGTATAACTTTCACGAAATATGAACGTGTTACACCACAATGTTTCGCTTAGACCGCACAAGAAGGGTCTCTGCTTACCTTGATTCAAGTTATCGTGCTTCCAACACACACACACCCCCCTTGCCACGGTGTAGACGATGAACGCTCGTAGTTACTCTTCTATCGCTTACCAAACGCCAAGGCTTAGGGAAGCAGATTCCAATTCGACTATCAGATTCTTACTCATTTCTTTAAAGATTTGACTTCTCTTATATTTTTCACAGTTTTTTTTCTTTTAATTAGATAACTTCATTATCGCTAGAATCATTTACGTTGCTTTCTGAGACTATTGAAATCCACCTCGGGTGATTCCACCGACCGTCCCTATTATCCGGACACGGAGAAGTGAGGATATCTTCCGAAGCTGAATTTTGAAATTCACGAGCTTAAAGCACGTCAGGGTTTATTAGATAAGACGGTCATTGCTTCCTAAAGGACCGTCTGAAAATCAAGCCTCCAAAGACTTCGGTTATTGAGGATCAGAAGGTCGTCGTTTCTCTGATCAGGCACAGCATAGCAGGATAAATTGCAACAAGCTACACTGTTATGGGCCTCTGTAGTTCGTTATGGAAATGGCACTTTTTTCCAACAGCAATGAAAATAGTTAATAAAAATAACCCTTATAGAATGTATAAACAGTCAGGTAATGTAAATGTTCACAGTCGCCTTAACTTGCCAGACGTGATAATTCCTTTTCCTCAGTAAATACGCTTTCCAAGCGGCCAGTCAACGAATAACAATGCACATGGGCATTGCCTGGGCATGTTGGTTAAGGTAAACAGGGCTAAAATCGAGTTTGTTGTCCTGAGACAACTATAGCTGTCTGTAAATATGTTTTTCAGTTACTTCGAATAGTCGTCATAATAGCACACACTTTCCGTTAACTGTACATTTATTATGCCCAATATGAGCTAAGCTGTCCTCTTGGCCGTTCCTTGGCTTCTGATCGACAATCGTTGAAATATCACAGCAGGCTTATACTACCCTTGATGTATAAAGACCTTCGCTGCTCACCGTAGATACAGTCAAGGCCTGCCGCATTTCTTTCATCTGCTGCCGCTAACGTAAATACGGAATAATCTCAATGAAATTTAGCTATCGATGCTTGTCGCGCTCTCTGTAATAAGTGACGACAGAGACCTGGCTTTCGCTGTAGTTACCAGTTTAGACAAAACATTGATAGCAGTTTCCTTCGGCAAGGCAAACTGCGCTTTGCTCCTTTAATTCAGTCGAATCGCTCGGAGTCCGTTTTGACGCGAGTTCTCTATGAAGCTCTTTTATACACTATTTCAGTATTCGATACCGATACTTTTTTTTTAGCCTTTCAGCTCTTGCATGGGGCTGTAATAGTCCCGCAACCGGAACGGCCCGTGGCAATTTTCTTCATTTTTTTGGCACGACTGAAATCCTTACCTTTCTAGTCGCTTAGCGCTATTCAGTCCTAACAAAAGTGGTTGACTAAAAATTAATGCCATGGTGGATTATTTCTCCTAGCTCGTTACTTGAGCAGCGTGCTACTGATGTCCTTTGCCCCTCAGATGAACAAAATACTGTTAATTGTCGGATAGTACAAACACTAACCCAGTGCCCAGTTTACATACTGGACACACGCCAACGGTCACGCAAAGGTTATTTAATATAAAAGTTATTTTTTGTTTTAATTAAACCATTTACATTAGCAAATATTATTATTTACATGCTCATTCATACGTAGCTAAACAGTTATTCATTGGTCCAATCGATTGTTTCCACTGAATTTATTTATAATACGTAAAACACCATGCATTTGTTGGTATGATTCTTATGCGAACCCTCGGCTTAATAACAAACCTGCTGTTGCCATTTTTTCTAATAAATTTCAAGGATTTGGGGGGGACCGATGGCCTACATATATTTAGTTGAACAATAAATTCATTTATACTGTTTTGATTATCATGAACCCAATACACCATTCATTTTCCAGGAAATGCCTGCTATTGAAACCACGTCTAATGCTGGTCAAACAACCGCTGCTTTTGGCGAAGAAGTTACGACCAAATCTGAAAGTACAGCAGGGTCAGTTGCTCCGGAAGGCTCCACTGAATCCACCTCATCCTCATCGGAAGCTTTAACAGAATCAACTGAAATGGTGTCAACTACTAATGAGGGATCGTCCACTTCCTCAGTTTCCCAATCTGCTCTTGAGGAATCTACAAGTGCTTTACCTGGAGCTTCCACCGACACTCCTGCTGAAGGCAGCACAGGAGCCTCAACTGAAAAGCCTATCGATGCCTCAAGTGAAGGGAGCACGGAAGCTTCAACCGAATCATCTACCGGTGCTCTTACTGAAGGCAGCACGGCTTCATTTGAGGCGATGTCGGAGACTTTGCCAACAGAAGCGGTTGAAGCTATATCTGCTACGGCCTCGGAAACGTCCTCGGAGCAGCCAACAACGGCTGAGGTTCCAACTGCAGAGAGCACAGCAGGGTCTATGATAATGCCTTCAACAACTGAAAGTACAAGCCCTGACATCGCTGAGGGTTCAACAGAAGCAGAAGCAGTTTCTTCAACGGAAAGTGAAGAAACTTCAACCGAGGCGTCTTCCAGTACAGAAATGGAATCCACGACATCCAAAACTGAAAGCAGCACCGAGACTCCTTCTTTAGTAGCCGAAACGGAAGCTATGTCTACCGTCAGCCCAGAAGTGTCAACGGGCTCTACGAGTGAATCGTCGAGCGAAAGTTCCCAATCATATACAGAAGTTCCCGCAGACACCAGTGGTGTAAGTGATAGCTCCTCCACGCAGGCAGACATTTCAACGGATGTAAGCAGCGAAGCTTCAACAGAAGACTACACTGCAGCTAGTTCGACTACGGAAAGCTCAACGGATTCTGGTATTGAAACTTCGAAGATGGTGGATGGCACAGAAACGAGCCTTTCCCCTGCTGAGGATTCAGACGTACCCAGCACCAAAGCTCATTCTGAAACTTCGACTGGCGAAACCTTACCGAGTTCGTCTGCTACCTCTGAAGGCTCTACTGAAACCGAGATTGAAAGTAAAGCAACGACCTCACCAAGTGAAAAGGACATTGAGTCAACTACAGAAGCTTCCGAGGGCACTTCTTCTGCAACAACCTCTAGCAGCACAGAATCTTCAAGCAACGGTATCATAAATAAGCCTTATACTGAGACTATAATGATAACTATATTTTACACTACTAATTAAGTTCTAAACTAGATCATAAATGATTTGATGCAGACTCACCTCACTATGGTTGTTGTTGCAGACTGTATCATTGATGGCAAAAGCTATCCAAGCAACGGTATTATTCCATCGGAAGACCCATGTCAGATCTGCCAATGTATTGATTCAGAAATGGTGTGCGCCAACGAAGTATGCGATGAGCCCGAGGAGCACTGTAAGCTTATGCCTCCTACCAAAGATGAATGCTGTAATTATAAGTGTGCCGACGAAACTTCATCGGTAAGTAACCTTCAATTTTATTGATATGTGAGAATCGTTTCATGTAAGTTAATGTCAACACTTTTTTAAAATAAATTATCAGTGTCGTACCTCCTATCTCGAATTGGACTTATACGAAAAATACTAAAAAATTACTTTAAAGACTGGTGGCACTCTTAACAGCCTTCAATAACACGTAAATTGCGTGTAAGCTTGCCCGAGCAGAATCAATGTTAAAAAGTATTCGTACAGTGCAACAATCCATGTCCGTCCAGAAGCAGACTTTGTCTACAGTCTTTTTGACTCTACAAATAGTAAATAAAACTGTAGAGAGAGTATAAGGTTGAGTTATCAGCTATATTTATTTATTTGCATGTATTTTATTTTTCGGAAGAAGTTTCAGATTCTTCACACAGAAAACTGTTTAACGCCGCTTATGCTTACGTTTCGACACCATTACTCTAAATCTTTAATTTTCGACAGCCGCCTCTATTGAGAGAAATCTATACATTATATTCCTTCGACAGTCACGGAACAGCGTCCACACTTAATTTCAGCTCATAGTCTATGTCCATACCCTTTCCCCTGAGCCTAGTACTTTCCTTTCGAAATTCGGCCTAGTACATTGTAAAAAATGATTTTCCGTTTCTTTGCTGATTATTTTGATTTTTGTTCATATTAGGTATTACATATCATATATATATGTGCTAGCTAGATTTACTTTGTACTTGTCGTTTGTGTGTTAAACATTGATTGACATTCATTTCGTGCCATCACTACTAAATACTTCTCAGATTTTTGCAAATTTTAATCGTTGTATTCTTACACTTACGTTTTGGGCGCTTTTGTCAATATACAATATATAATTAATCTTTGTTTGTTTGGTGTCTTTGGTTCTTAGTGTGTTTGGCAGACTTCAACCTTACCCTATCGGTTATTTCAACAAGTATAAATGCCACAACACACGAATGAAGTATAAATCGTATAAGTAGACTTATTTACGATCCGAGGTTAAAAGTTGATTTTTGAAGAAGCTTCTCTACTCGCCCACGACTTCAAAAATACGACACAGCAGTTCCCTGCTCAAACGCTTTGAAATGTGCTCTTCATTTGTGTACATAGATTTATAATACAATCGACCTGAAAATAAAGATATTTTTATTTAAGAGCGAAGACTCTGCATCCCATCAGGTTTTGTCAAATCGCGACCTCAAACAATGCGAAGCTATTCAGTTTTGCTGTATTAAGATTGCCAAATATATCTCTATTGAGTTAGTTTCGAATTGAATGAAAGTTAGGTGTGATTTTTGTATTTTTATGTAGAAAATAAGAGTTTTTAGATAGCTGCAAAGGAGGAAAAAGACCTAACATAGACTGCAATACATGCTCTACTTGGAAATCTAATCTGGTTTCCTCTGTTATTTGTAGGAAATACCTTCAATTGAAAGCAAATCAAGTGTAGATAAAACTACCGCAGCTCTCCCTGAGAGTACGGAAGGTGCTGTGACGGAGGCCTCATCTGAGGCAGCAGAGACCGGGTCCACAGTGCCAGGTGAAGGTTCCACAGAGGAACTCGAATCTACTTCCACTACATACGGCTCTACTACCAAGAAAAGCTCTGAGGAAACTACAGACTCGTCAACTGAAATAATTTCAAGTGAGGCAACAGGAAAGACCACTTCTAGTACCGATTCCGGATTATCTACTAGTCCTGCGGAGGAGACATCTACAGAGTCTTTTACCGAAACAATATCTTTGCCAGCTGAAAGCTCAAGCGAGGCATCTAGTGAATCTTCTACAGTGGATCAGACTTCTTCAGGGTCTACTGAATCCAGCTTTGAACTTTCTACTGAAATCTCTAGTCAGTCATTTAGCGGCGATTCCACCGACACCTCTATGGCGTCAACAAGTGCGGTGGCCGAAGGGCCAACGGAAGCGTCTACCCCCGAAGCGCCCACTGAAGGCTCAACAGCGGAATCGCCAAAATTAGAAAGTTCTTCATCAACTCAAGGCACAACCGAATCTGTGCCTGAAATTTCTACTGATGCCTTGAGTGAGGGAGTCACGGAAGCAAGCTCTGCGCCTACCGAAGGAACAACTGCAACCCCGATTCCAGTCGATGAAACGTCCGAACCTGGCTCAACAGAAGCCCTGTTCTCTACGCCTACAGCGAGTAGTACTGCGTCAAGTCCATCACCTGTAGAAGGTTCCACTGAATCGAGCTCTGAAGCTTTAACTAGTGGTTCAGTGGAGGACGTCACGTATCCAAGTACTGTACCAGCTGAAGATTCGACTGGCCCCACCACGGAAATTTCCACAGAAGCGTCAACTGAAGCGACTGCTGACACCAGCTCGACAACACCCGCTGAGGGATCTAGTGAAGTTACAATGTCACCCGAAGTTTCAACAGAACTTAGTACACAAGCCACTTCAGAAGCTACGACAGAAGGTGCCACTGAAACGGGTCCCACAGATTCCGCCGAGAGAGCAACAACACAACCTAGTATTGAGACTTCTTCCACGGCACCAACAGAGAGCTCTACGGTTCCTGCTGAAGGCTCGTCAGAAGTCGCAGAGACTGAAATGGCTTCTTCCCTGAGTCCTGAAACCGAATCAGCAGCAACAGTGGCATCAACTCAGCCTGAACTCAGCTCCGACGGTGCTGCACCAGATATTACAACGGGTACTTCTAAAGAAGGTAATTTTTATTGTAACCTTTATAATGTTATACAAAAAATGCGATCTGCTTATGCTTTAATATGCTCTGTCTTCAAACCGGTGTTCAACTGACTTCCGAATTTTTTTAGCACCGACGTCGAGTTTTGAGATAAGACCTGATTCGACTTGTTGTTCGAGCTTTGTACCCTGTATTTTCCTGATTTCTGTGCACTAACTAGAACAATTGTCCGGTAAAATAATAGCCACTGCATTGATCTATTACTAACTGTTTCGGCTAAATCCACGTGCTACGTACGTAGAACGCGTAGGGCTTCTCTCCTATATTTTTCGGCTATCTGTTGCCTTCCTGTCTTATATTATACCCAGGGGCGTTTGTTTCTAAAACAATGCTGCATGTGTACGAATTTTAGGCTGTATGGTGAACGGAAAGGCTTATCCGAACGACAGTGAAATCCCTTCGGAGGATGCTTGCCGTATTTGTAAATGTATTGACTCAGAAATGGTATGCGCTGATGAAGTATGCGACGAACCCGAGGAGGGCTGCGAGCAGACGCCTCCTACTAAGGACGAGTGCTGCAATTATGAATGCAAACAAGAAGACGCCGTGTCAACGGTACGAGTAACCGCACGTCGCTAAGCTAGAACTTTTTATGAACGTTTCTATAAAGATATGTTTACCTCAAGAAATAACATCATTTTTAACGATGTACCTACAGAGAATGTATGGATAGGTCATACCATTGACCCATAAATATACTTCCCCGAAAAATTTATATTCAAACAAAATCCAAATTAGATTCGGCTGATATGTCTAGGGAGCACGTAAAAATTGACTATCACTTCAATTGCATACTTACAGGACAAATCGCAGATTGAGAGTAAGTCAGGTCTGGATCTAACAACTGAAGATCTGGAAAGCTCCCAATATTCTACCGGCGTCCCAAGAGTTTCAACTGAGGCATCAACAGAAAGCAAGAAATTGCCTTCTACTGAAAAATCGATTGAGACCTCTACCAATGCGTCTGAATTGAGTTTAGAGGGGGCAACTGAACCTCCTATGCCTGAATCTGTGACAACCGAGGCATTTGAACCAACAACAGGCGCATCGACAGAGCAGGGTTCGGAAACCAGTGAATCACCTACGGACGAAAGCATAGCTACTGAATTGGAAGAGTCAACTCAAGTATCCACGGCTGCAAGCAAAATATCCACCGAATCTGAAGGGTCAACGACAACCCCCGACACCTCGCAGGAGACCAGCCTAGCCGCCGTCACAGCAGGCACAGAAGCTTCAAGTGAGCCTGCTCCTTCAACTACAAATTTGGACGCTACCAAGGGTACATCCGAAGTTCCGACTACGGACATGTCAGGCTCAAGTGCAGCTTCGACAGAAGTCTTTAGGGAGCCGACCGAGATGGCTAGCGAATCGACCGCTACAGTCGAAGCTTCGAGTAAACAGTCTACAGAAGCAGCTAACGAATCCACAACAGAGACTAAGGGTGAACTTCCCGCCGAAGCAACTAGCGAACCACCTGCGGAAACACCAGGTACCCTTTCCACAGAGACATCCAGTGAAGCGTCAACGGAGGCTACGAGTGAATCTTCAACAGAGGCGCCAAGTGATTCCTCTACGGCAGTATCCTCCGCTGCTGAAACGGAAGCCATTTCCATGTTATCTACTGACGCTTCGTCTGATAGTATTACCAGTGCCATGACGACTTCAGCGTCGGAGAGTAGTTCCGAAGCCTCTTCTCAAACTTCAGACGAAGCTGCGACTGCGACGACCGGAACACCTACTGAGGAGACATCCACTCAGTCATTAGCCGACAGTATGCCTGACACTTCTTCTGCGTCAGACGGTACAGACGAAGCATCTACCCGAAGTTCAGCTATCACTACCTCAAGGACTACAGAGCCAGAGACAGAAAGCACCACTGATAAGCCTACTGAACCAACCTCAACGGAAGCATCAGGTAAAGTTTTTGCGTTTAAATTTAAGGTAAGGTTTGATAAGTTACAGAATTGATGAAAGATAATTCAGAGGTAGGGATACACTCTATTCAACTTGTTTTATTGATAAGCGATAATATTTGTAAAAGTTGCAGGTGACTGTACTGAAAAAGAAAAAGTGTATCCGCATAATACGACGGTACCGCGCGAAGACCCCTGTGAAATATGTACATGTATCTACTCCGAAATCATTTGTGCCACCGAGATTTGCCCAGAGCCTATGGACGGCTGCACCAAAATGCCAAAATCTGGCACCGAATGTTGTGTGTTCAAATGCGATAGCAGCACCACTCCTACAGCATCCGAAGAAACTATGCCCGGTTCGACTACACAAGAAGCTGAGCCGTCACGCGAGGACACATCCACCCCTGAAACAACACCGCAGGTTATTATGGCTGAAGTAACAAGCCAGGCATCAACTGAACAGCAGGTCGAAGTTACGTCATCAGCCACTTCCGAACAACCCGTCACAAGCACCACCGAGCCGCCCTCGCTTAACGCCACCGATTACGATGAAGAAGAGGAGGTGACAATTGCCCCCGGAGGTTAGTATGGTCCGGCCTACATAAAACGAAAGCGCAAGCATGACGGAATCTGCACGGTAGTGGATATGTACTTTCACGATGAACGCCTCAGATAGGTTGCGAATGTTAGCTTTAATGACTAAACTGCCATTTAAATGTAAATTGGCTTAAGTATCACTAATCACGGACGTGTCTAGGGAAACAGCATTAAGTGCGTTATGAAACACGGAATTACTATACAAATGACACGGGACCCTTTGATATCTTGAAGACTTCTATACGAACATATATATATATACAATAACAAACTGGTTTAACTTTGTTATTGCAGAGTGCGTGTATGAAGGTCGCGTATACCAGAGCGCTGCGCAAATTCCTCGACCTGACCCGTGTGATTTTTGCTTCTGCTTCCGAAGTGATATTATCTGTTTGCAGCAGACATGTCCTCCGCCCATACCGGAATGTCACGAAACTGCTATCAACGGGTACTGCTGCCCACGTTACGAATGTCGTAAGGATCACTCCTGTGTATTTATACCAATTTTACGTATTACCAGGCTTGTCAAGTCTTCCAAGTTGTATAGCAACGAGGATTAGAGGGCGATCCCGCTTCTCAAAAATCTAGCCGCGTAATTATGAATGATGACCGATGCTAGTGTGGTCTGCATAGTAACCTTTAGCTCAAATACTATGAAGAAAAAAAAAAAAGATATTAGGAGCCTGTGGCGAGTTTGATATTTGTAGAATACACAGATACTAGTTTGCCATGTCGTTTTTGCGTATTTATAGATGTGAATATGGCGTACAGAAATACTACAAGCGCGATCGTAACGACCACTACAACGACGACCGAGGAGCCGAGCAGAGCTGACGAAGAAAAAGGTAACAATATATGTAGTCCTATAGTCTTGATACGAAGCAGACACGGAACGGTTCTTTAAATAATGCTCTATTCGAGCAACGACACTTCATCGAACCAATCAACGACACGTTAGCATATTAATGAATCATTGCAATATTTCGCACTATTGCAGCATGTAAAGGTAGCAACAATTACAAGACCCCTCCGTACAAGATGAACGTATTTCCAGGTAAATAATATACCGTATTCGCATCTATTAGTCGGCGGGTTGAGTAATTCTACTTATACTTTGCGCCTTTCTGTGCACAGGCTGTCAGGTAAAGGGCCGTTTCTATCGCGTTGGTGAACTCGTCACAGCAGTAAGCTCGCCATGCATGGAGTGCCGTTGCGACGAGACGGCAACGATGAAGTGCGACCCTAAAGATTGCCAACAGAATGCGCCTCTTCTACTACGGATGAACCGGTCATTCTTCCGCTCAAGCACTTAGTTTCAATACTGTGACATACCAATCTGCAAGCTGCCACCCGAAACAGAGCATAGGCTTCTAGACGTCAGCCAGCTATAGAGAAATTCCCTTATACAGACGCCACGATAAGGAGCAAGCTGCAGGCCATGTTTACAACTGGGCCCCGTCACTCGAGGTGGCCTTCTACACATCTGTTCCCCTCTGTTTCTAAGTCATCGTATAAACCTTAATTAGTATTAATTCTTAACTAGAATTATTAGCGTTATTAATACATAGTCTTGCAGTCAATCCTATCCTAACCGCTGCTATGTCCATCAACTGTTGCTGATTGGTACGACATTTCTAGTTTCCCGCGAGACAGCGAGGCGGTCTTCCTCTCGAACCCGTTCATTGTATATTGGTGCCAAACGCTTATGTGTGACTTTCTGTAATATACTTTGGCTCCTTCAAGACAGCTACTAGCGAATTATTATTTTAATTTTGCTTATTACTTTTATTATTGAGGCTTGATGGCAGTGAAGAAAAAAACATATACTGGAGTGATAGAATAAGGCAGGTCGCTCGTAAGACCTGTGTATAATCTAGCGGAGTCTTCGGTGTGTACAGAGTATCATTGAGCGGAATAGTCTCTCTCTCCTCTGTAGAGGAAGCAAATATGTCCACTGTCCAGTACAGAATGTATATGTGCGACGCGCCATAGCGGCGCGAAATACCGCTGCGACTACAGAATGAACTAGATTAGAATTCGATTGGACACGATGACGCGGCCGGTTGAAGCGATACTGTACATAAATCATATTAGGTGATTCGGATTGACCTAACTAAGAAACGCCACGACCGTTGTCTGGCTCCCCACCACACACACACACACACACACACACATATATATATATATATATATACATATATATATATATATATATAGGCTTCTTGAGAAACCTCAAATTATTCTTATACAATAGTTAAGGTTTAGAAGATTAAAGCAAACTAATGATTTACTTTTCGTTGAACATTTTGAGGCTGGGTTAAGTTTAGCGCATTTCAGTAAAAGTAAATCCTTTGATTTTACATATTCGACGTACGACGAAACACATCTGCACTAGCTAAACTGGGAGATGGTTGCAAATGAAGTAGGTACACGCAGCAGCGATTTTGACCGAAAACATTTTATGGCCCCAGCTTCAAAATGGATTACAAAATCTCAACCATTTTTTTGTTTTGCCCCTAAAATTGCATTAAAATTTCGCTCGTTGTGGCTTATTGCTTCTAAAGAAGTCGATATTAATATGTTCGATAGGAAAAATGTCTCATCGCTATTTATCAGAACACGGCCATGCAGGTCTCTAGGAAGCAAAAAAATGGCTTGCTTTTCGCAGCGTGTAGCTGCCCTACCTTTTTTCCCAACTAGAATTATCAACGGATGCCTGGTTTAAGTCAGCCTTCCTGTAGCAAACCCCATCCACTGCACGAGCTGAACTAAGCGCAATTTCTAATAATGAAATAGAGAGCATTACCATGGGCTCCATCGGCACAATCAGCGGGCCTATTGATTTCACCAATATTTCGCTTTGTGTGTGGCAGCTCTTTCGCCTGTTCTCGTTTCATGTCCACGATAGGAAATCGGAACAGGAACCATTTATTTATAACGGACCTTTTTACTTCAATTAATTTATTTTACCTATTTATAAGCTAGTTATATTTATTGAGCCATAGCGGCATACAACAATGCGTACGAAGGATGGCCAGTGAGGATGTACACTGATGACAATTAAACCCAACAAGATACAATAGTACAATATGAGTGCTATACTTGAAACGGTTTGGAAAGACACACCAAAAGCATCATATGCTTCATCTCTGACGTTTCGTCTCTACGAGAAATTCACAAAAAAAAAACGCTGGTGAACATAACATTGCATGGATTGCCATATAAGTGTTTTGAACGGAAATTCTATAGCTGTACGAAGAGTAAATTATATAGTTTCAAAACGTAATGTGTGTCTTTTTCTTTTAGCGTAGACAATATTGAATTCAACACGAGTTCGGCATCTGCTATAGGACGACAAGCACCCCTAATCGTTTTCCCTATTTTGAGAAGTCCTTCTAGAATGCCTTGCGGGCAACTAGCCCGTTCTGTACTCTTCAAATTACTTATAATACTCGGAGTGTCGATATCATACTCAGGATTTTTTCGATTCGTTGTAATGGTAAACCATTTCCTTGTTAGGCTTAAAATAACTGAGTGGCGGTATCTCTTCGACAGGCGGTAACGCTCGCGGCAGGCTGCTGATCAGGTTTCAACATATCACGACTTCGTTCATTTTTACGGGCTGTGCATTTATAGTAGTAGATATGCGGAAGAGCCAGCTCAAGTGACGATTGAAATCACAAAAATTTGCGAGTTTCTAAATTTACGGTTTTTCTAAATCTGTAACACTCTGCGCTAACCACACCAATGCAATAGTGTGTTCGATTCGTGATAATGCTCCTTAGCAAACGTATTACGAGACGTATGAGGGCCCCATTTTTTCTATTCGACGTGCTTCGACTGCTGGAGGCCTCTTATAATACAAGTCGACTTCAGTGGTTTCCGCTCAGACGGAAGTCGACTATACTTTTTACAAGCTAGTCTTTCTCCTGACTCACGCATCGCATCGTTTACAGCAGTTGGTACCATATCTCCACGACCAGCTCCTTTTTAAGCTCAATTTGGTATAAACTCGTTACTCTACTCTACTTTCACCTCTTGAAGAATTGACAAAATTTTTATTCCATTGAGAAAGCTAAATGCATGAAAAGTGATTTCTCAGGTTAAATATTGTTAAATTTAGTAAACTGAGGGACAATGATCCTTCCACGAAGATCCATTATTAAGCGTTCCCTTGCTGTTTATAATATCTATGGCGAGAAATTAGGTAGTATATATATACACCTAATTGTAAGTACATTACTGATAAACTCAAGTTATTTCGATTTAAATATATGTAGAGTGAACATAGCTAATCATTTATAGAAAAGCTTCAATTGAGCCTTTCTGCATTATTCTTTACCGCAGTTAAAAAAAGGGTGTTGTATTCCGTTGCTTTCATCTTTCCGTTAGTGTCACACCTGTGGACAGATGACATCTTCAGCTACCTACCTTAACGAATATACTTCAGTGCACACTAACCGTAAGCATTATTGAGTGTGCATATTGGGATTATGGAAGACTTTTGGTAAAGCTTTTTCACGCTTATAACATCAAGATGACACAACATAGGACTAACCGGAAAGCCGTAGCCTGACTACGCAGCTATTTCACTTACAGATAATTCACGCTTAGGATAAGGGAAAAATTGGTTTTAACGGGTGAAAGTAACGTGTTTGTCTGCTAACCGAAAGGACACACACTCGAAGCAGTGTGTAGACATACTCTGATCGTTGAGTAAAAATCCAATATATATATATATATATATATAGTATAACAAAGGGATTAATAAACTAATCCCTTTTACTGTTCTGTCCCGAAATGGCCATTTAGAGAGGCTTTTGAAGTGATGCTGAAACGGCACGAGACCTGTCGAAGAAAGTATAGCTGAGGACCAGCTATGAGAAGAGATCAGGAATCCTGCAAGGTTTTTATGTAGGCCCCTCTTCTGTCTACACGGCATGTTAATACTGTCTTTTAAATATGTACTCTCTTTTATTCCCCTCACAAATTGCATGTTGAACCTTTGAAATTATATGGTTATAATTATAATGTATATATATATAAACATATATATAACTTCTGCAATCCTTATCTCTTTTAATAGTTTCAGCTCGGTCTGTTGTAAAATTGGGACTTCCTATTAGTACTCGGCTAGAAGTTTACGCCGAAATGTACGGAAGTCCTTTTTTTGACTCCATATATCTATCTTCAATAAATCCTTTGAATGAAAAAAAATACGTTTTGTCGTTTGCCTTGGAAGTCAATCTTGCAGTGTTGAAAAAGTAAAAAATGTCCCATTACATACGGCAACTTTGTTTACCAACTACACTAAGACTATGACCATCGCCAACGGAAATATATAATATTTTACAGCCGCTAAGGTTCTCAATGGGCCCTTTATTGTCGAACCTTGTATATGAAAGCGTTTTCAGCAAAGATGATTTGTCACTGGGGGGTTAAAATAGTATGCAAACTTCTTAAAAGTCACTATCTACGCAGGAAACCTAGAGGAGCTATAAGGAAGGGGAAATCAGGCATATAAGTCAAATTTAACCCTTACCAAACCATTCTTCTATTGGCAAGAAGAAATAATGAGATATTGCAATCAACGTTTCCCAAAAAAGACAGATGTCTCGACGCATTACTCAACCAGGCTATGAGTTTTAGATTTTGCACTAGAAAAGAAGCAAGTAGAGTTATAAAGATTTCTGCAGGGATCGCAAGTATCATACCAACATCTACGGACAAGAAAGAAAGAATGCAAGAAGGCACAAGACCTACTACAAGACGAGCAATTCAAGCAGTTAAAGCCCACCGCACCCTGGCGCTGGAGATAGTGCGATCTAAAAATGTGATAGAAAACCTTAGAGAGAGAATCCTGCGAGCCTCAGAAAATGAGTGAGCGGAAACGCTAAAATATGCACCGAGTACAACGGTCAGAAAAATCATCCTGATATGAATAGTGGTCAAAGAGTCCAGAAGAGGAGCTCACATAGCACACAAGGCGCATTTAAACTTGACATAGGGTTTTCTAAAGCTATATCTACCACACTGGTAAGACCGCATTGGACATGGTCGTGGCCTATAATAAGCGAGTGGAGAAAAACGCGCTGCACATATTGATAATAGTGATCTACTCCGGATGAAAATGGGAAATGGCAAGAACAGACAAAGAACGACTGTAGGAATGAAAATAAATAGGCTATTCAGAGGAGAAAAATGCCGCTGTAATCTTCGATTCGTCAGAGACGTACGGCAGCGACAGTCCTGGTAAGGAATCGAACTAAGGCGACGCTTGTTATTTGATTCGATGACTTTTGCTGTTTATTATTACCCGTCCATATTAATATCAAACGAAGATTTGGATTGGGTCAGAATAACGTATCAGAAACGAATTGGAATTTAGTGAGCAGTGGTTTTGGCCAGAGTAAGTCCAGCTGTCGGTGTTGAACTACACAGTAGGCATACAATATCGTCCTGGTAGTGTCCAGTTTGTGAGCAGATGTATTACTTAAAACCATAGAAGAAGAATTATTTTCGGCATTGATATTCTAAGGATGATAAATTCAGCATGTGATACAGCGTTTCGCCGCTTCGTTGCCTAAGAAGCTAATCTGGATATCGCATTCGACCGTAGTCTTGTGATTCTCAGATATATGTATTGGTTGAAGATATAGCTTTCTTATTTTAAGAAGCACATTGAAGCGATTTAA